TGAAAAAGTGTTTGTGCTTGAAACTGGTCCCTGGTACAAAAAAGGTTGGGGACCACTGACTTACACAATCTTCCCTACCTGGCAACAGCCATCCCTGATCCCACACCTTACATGGTTGCCTCCTTGTGAGCTGCCTGGGCCTCGTTTAACAATGTGTGATTTCCATTGTTAAGTAGTCATGTGATGACATGTTTTATGATATTGCTTCGTCTTGGAAATTCCTACTTCAATTACCATTCTTAACCAACTACTTATAGTTGTTTACAGAACAATCCTTTGCAGATTTACCCATAAATCTCACAATTATTAATTATATTATAAAATTATTGGATCTATAACCTTTATTTTGTACTATCCAAGTTAGTGTAAATATTCCTGCCTCCTATTTTCCTCACAACACTTAAACTGTGAAGTGTGTTCATCTGGCCCACAATCACTAAGCCAGCTTATTAATGCCTTTTATTGTTTTCACACTTTTTACAGGGTTGCATAATACACTTAATTTAAAATTATAAAAATATAAACTTACATCTTTTCCCAAAACTCTAAGTTCAAAGTGAGTTTCTTTGAAGTGGACCCTGGTAATTCTAGGCCTAAAATGTTTTTTTAAAAAAGATAAAAAACACATATAGAAATGAATTTAATCAGGAAATATTGAAAGAATCAGTTTAACTATAAAAAGCTGATACAGTAGACATTGTTTAATACCTTAGAAATATATAGGTATAGCTATTCCAATTCTCTATAATAGGTAGATCAGAAATTAATTCTAAATTGGAAATAAGAATTCCAAAGCCCACCTTAACCCTAAAATGTACTTTCCCCAAGCTGTTTTATTGTAACAGAAAATGAAAGTAATACATTATTGATGCAGGTAATAACTGAATATAGTGGTGTGTATGCAAAGAGACTAGAACCTGTTAAGACTGTACCAATAGAAGAGAATATTTGTAGCATAGGGTTGAATTATGGGATCTCATATGATCACAATTTATGACTTTTTGCTGAAAACCCGCTTTTATTTCCAGTTTTTGCAAAAATGCCCTAGAGCTGGGGTGTGAAACTCACAGCCCACATGCATTACACACTGGCCACATCCATTCCTGGTTCAGTGAAAGGGGAAGCCGCGATACATCATGTGACGACAATGTGACAGTGTGAGTTTGACACCCCTGTCCTAGAGCAAACATGGGTTTGCTTAACAACTGATTGACTTAATGAGAAAGCGATTCACTTAACAACCACTGAAAGAAAAGGTTGGACACGTGATCACCTGCTTTACATCATCACAACACGACCATAATGAGCAGGCTCTATTATATTTATAAACCGAGGACTGTGAATGTTACTTGGAAGATTAAATAGATAGAAAAGAAGGAACAAAGTTTGCATATGTATTGTTGCTTACCATCGATTTTAATATAAGCTATAGATTTTACTTACCAAAAATACTTTCCTACTTGCTTTTTATTCTTATAAACAACTACTCCTATAGGCTTCAGTCCCAGAAAATATTCAGATTTGTTTTCACCCTTAGAAAAAAATGTTAAATTTAAGTTAAATTGTATTTGTTAATGTGATACTTTTTTTCAAAAGAAAAATGTTTTTCATATAGATCACTGTTTGGAAATAAAGAATAACATTTTCTAAGCTGGTTCCATTATAGTAGTTGCAAAAAAAATAATCCATTGCCAATATTAAATAAGCTTCCACTCTCTCCACTTAAGTCTGAGCCTACTAATTATCTATTATTTCCTGTTATTTTGAACTTCTTAAGGACTTTACTCAGATTCTGTGTTACTTTTATAATTTCTTGCCTGAACATATCTGTTGCATGTGTTGCTTTTATCTTCTAATGATACTTAAAATAAATTCCTCAGATTTGTAATCTTACACTTTTTATAATAGTTATTTGTCTTTTGTACAGCAATGCAACCACAACAGAAAGTTGCTAAACAGAAAGTTAAACAGAAAGTTCCCTAACCCATGCCAATCCCAAGTATGAGTTTTCAGAGATTTAACTTTTCTCTTTAAAAAAAAAAGATCTTGTTCTAGAATAACAGAATTACTGCTTTGCAACAGGTAATCAACAGGTAATTGCTGATCCTGTTCCGGATCCAGATTATTATACAACGTAGTCTACAAGCCTAGCAGGCTCTGTCTCCTGAACATCTAATCTGCTTTTGGAATGGAAGAAAGTAAAAATAAATTTGTGGTTCAGCACTATAATTTCCTTTTCAAGGAAAATAATTCAACAGTTCCATTAACACAGGGGTCTCCAACCTCCAGGCCAGAACCAAGCTGCACAGCTAGAGGGGAGTGAGAAGAGATGGGTGAGTAAAAATCATCTGTATTTGCAGCCACTTCCCATCACGGTCTCAGCTCCACTTTAGATCATCAGTCATTATATTCCCATAGGAGCACTAACCTACTGTAAACTGCATGTGAGGATCTAGGTTGCACACTCCTCCTCCCCCCTCCGTGGAAAAAATGTCTTCCACAAAAACAGTCTTTGGTAGCAAAAAGGTTGGGGACTTTTAACTTTAAAAATTACTTACATAGACAGGATAAAGATCCACTCCATACATTTCAAGTGTCTTTGCTACTCCTAAGTAATTCAGTTCTGCCTCAGCCGGAACTTGGCTCCTGTTGAATAAATAGCAATAGCCTTTAGACTTATATACCACTTCATAGTGCTTTGCAGTACTCTCTGAGCTGTTTACAGAGTTAGCGTATTGCCCCAACAATCTGGGTCCTCATTTATGACCTCGGAAGGATGGAAGGCTGAGTCAACCTTGAGCCGCTCAGAATTGAATTCCTGGAGTGAGCAGTGAGTTAGCCCTGCAGTACTGCATTTTAACCACTGCGCCATCATAACATTCTTAGATGCATTTATTCAGAATAAAGTCCAGGAATTCATACCTGGCAGCTAAATGGACATCTTATACAGCACATTAAAATCCATCTTATACAGCACATTAAAATTATACATGATGTTCATCTGGATTATATAATCCAAAGCCTTCAAAAATCAGCAAAATATACAATCCTTCTATTGTTTCAGAAATGCATGTACTAGCTATATGAATAGTATAGTATAGTATAGTATAGTATAGTATAGTATAGTATAGTATAGTATAGTATAGTA